CGTCGGGGGGCCCGGGCGGGGCCCGCGTTAGGCACCCGCTGTGTGCGGTCGTGTGGGCACCGGAGACTCCGGGAGGCGCGCAAAGAAGCAACCTGAAAAGCAGTTAAACCTGTTTTGACCGCTTGCTTCCATCCCAGAAAATGTCCCTGGGCGCCCGTGGCTCACACCTGTCTCCTAGCTCCTCACGAGGCTAAGGTTCGGGGTTCGAAGCCAGCCCAGGCAGGAGCAGCTGTGAGACTGTAATAGCGTCCAAGAATCAACGGGCAATGAGACTCAAACACCACTGATGAGACTAGACTCTTAGTTAACTACCAAAAAAGCCGGAAGTAGAGCTGTAGCTCCAGGGGTGAAAGTGCTAGCACTGAGCAAAAAAAAAAAAAAAAAAGCTCAGAGAAGCCAGGCGACGGTGGCTCACCTCTGTCCCCCTGTAACCCTACTACTCAGGCGGCCTGAGGATCAAGGTTCAAAGCCAGCCCAGGCAGGAAAGTCCATGAGACTTATCTCCAATGAACCACCAGAAAACCGGAAGTGGTGCTGTGGCTCTAGTGGTAGAGCGCTAGCCTTGAGCTGAAGAGCTGAGGGACAGCGCCCAGGTCCAGTTCAAGCCCCACAACCGACCCCACCCCCCAAAACAAACAAACAAACAAAACCCAACAACAACAACAAAAGAAACCAGCTCAGAGACAGTGCTCAGGCCCTGAATTTAACCCCAGGACTGGCACAATTAGGCACATACACAGACACGGTAAGGGGACAGCTCCCAGGTCCTGAGTTAAAAGCACATACACACACACAAAGGAAACACAGACCTACTGTCTAGGTATACTTAGGCTTAATGGGGACACCTGTGGTGAAATATGTACACAGAAATAAATATTCAAGATGTAAATGCTGGGTGCTGGTGCCTCATGCCTGTACTAGCCCTCAGGAGGCTGAAATCTGAAGATCATAGTTCAAAGCCAGCCCAGGCAGAAAAGTCCATGAGACTTATATCCAATTAATCACCAGAAAACCAGAAGTGGTGCTCAGACTCAAAGTGGTAGAGTGGTAACCTTCAGCAAAAGAGGTCAGGGATAGGGTCTAGTCCCTGAGTTCAAGTCCCATAACTAACAGAAAAAAAAAAAAAAAAAAGAGATGGGGCTGGGAATGTAACTCTGGTAGAGTGCTTGCCTAGCATACATGAAGCCCTGCGTTCAATTCCTCAGTACC